CTTATTGAATCTTAAAACTATGATCTCTTCTTAATCACTGGAACCAGCTAGTTGGGCAAGTGTTCAATAGTACATGGATTATACAATATACTATTTTTTTTAAAATTAAATTTGATTGCTGAGCGGGAGGTGAGCTCATCAATCATAAATATTTTTAGCATCACCTTCAAGACTGGTTTATGTTTCAAAAACATATTATTAATGGTAAACACATGATTTTGTATATTTGTTAATTTGTTAAATTATGTGTAATAACAATTTATTTATGATATAGGATAGTCTTATGAATTATTATTATTTTTATTTATCAATTATCAACTTTTTTTTAGCTATTTACTAGTTTTGCTTCAGAGCTGACTTTTATTGCTCCACTCCACTTCTATGGCGTGTAGTTTTTCAAATTGCTTACAGTTTAAAATGAATTAGTTAACATGACATGAATGCCAAAAACAAAATAATATTCAACAGAAGTTGAACTGAAATGGCCAATTCTACTGTTTTCTATTGCAGAGCACAGATTTCATTTCATTCAATTAGGAAAGGTTTATCTGAGTGTAATTCCATGGCTGCTGTTGCTTTGTAGCGCAAATTAGCTTTGTTGTCTTTTTTGCTGTGCTTTGTTGTTTAGCTAGTTGTTGTGCCTGTGTGTTTAAGTGTGTGTGTGTGTGTGTGTGTGAGCAGCTTGCTGTGGATGCTGCTGCTCAAGTGCGTCTATTGTGAGCGTTGCCGCTGCAGAAGCCGCTGCCGACTTTCGTGCGCAAATATTTACAACAACGTGGAGCTGGAACGCAGGCCGCTGACACACAGAAAGACGAAAGTATGCGTCTAACGACAACAACCTGTCACACAAGCCAGCTGAGCACAGCGTCAACAATCCATTGTGCATATGTATGTACGTGTATATGTGCACATGCGAGTGTGTGCATGTATGTGTGTGTGTGCTTGTGTACAATGCGACATTAGCTCGTCGTCAGGTCAGCTACATTGGCACTCGCTCAGGGCTGACAGTAAAACAGGCCCATAATGGGCCCTAACAAAAGGCGTGCTTGTTTAGCTGTGCGCGCTTTTTAGCTTTTTTATTCGTCGTTGTCGGCCGTTGTTTGTTTGACATGTGTTTGAGCTTCGGGGGCTGCCTCTGCCATTGGCCACACACACACACACACACGCACACGCATACACATAGTCTGAGTGGCATATACATATGTCTTCTTGCAAATTAATTTATAAACACAATTGACATTGAGCTCGAATGTAAATATGCCGTTGAGAATGGCTGCCTTGCATTAAAATTTCAAATGATTTCACATTCTGTGTATATATGTATAAGGCGGTGTGTGTTTACTGTGCTCCTCTGTGTGTGTTTTTCTTCTGTCATGGTCTAGCAATTATTTTGTTGGCACACATGACTGCGCCTGCTGACGTTGCACTCGAAGAAATTGCCCAGAGATGAGGATCGTAGTGATGTCACCCCAAAAAGTATGCTACAATTTTATGCAATTAACAATGACATGTCATGTCTTGTTCAGAAAATCTCTTCGTAACAGAATTAAAGAATCGGTTTCTCTTGAATGCAGAGCAACTCGAATAACTATTCACTAGCTGTGAGGTTTTCCTTTTCTGACAACATGTAACGAATTCGAAAGCAATGCATGCCAGCAAATGCAAATCCAAATGCATTCGTGCCGTTTTATGAGATACTCAAATCGACAATATCAAAAGAATAATATATAAATGGATTCGAAGTGCATTTGAATTTCTGATTTCATACAGCTTTGCGAGCAGATTATTGCTCAAAATTGAAATATGTAGTAGCTTGCATTGAAGAATAGAGTTGCTAAACAAACTGAGCTTAAGTGATTAACTCATAAAATGCACAACACATTGAAATGAGATGACTTTTCCTTCCAGTTGGAGTACTTAAGTAAATACCATAAAAAAAACATTTTATTTTGCAATTTTATGTTCGTGTTGAAATGCTTGAAGCGGAAGATGGAAAAAATATGTGATGCATCTCACTAAAAGTTAAATTTATAAGGTTGTTCTTTACAGGCTTTTTCTAAAATAGTTATAGATTGTTCAATTTTCAAGAATATACAAATAAATGGTTTTCAAGTAGAAATTGTCTAAAGCACTCAATAGTCGATTACTACATACTATATTCCTTATTCTCCGTTTCTGTACAAATAAGATAGTCCTTAGTTAAATTAGCTTGTATTGAAATAAAACAAAATAATTCATTTTCATTTAAGGAATTAAACGTTTTTCTGTCGTTGTTTTCCCTTTTCTGTTGCAGATGTTTGCAATTAATATTTAACAAATAAGAATGGAATTGCGCTCTTTTCAGAAAACAATTTTAACCACTGATTTTTATGTAAATGATCAAATAATTTAATGCTGATTTCAGTGAACTTTTTAGCATTCGTTTTCACAATTTTAGAAGGCACTTTCGCAGCTAGAGATCTCTCGCGATGGTACTTTTAATTTGCACATAAATATGTCAACTGAAACTTATTACAATCCAGATAGTGCGGGCCTAAATTGTTGTATCTTATCTTGTAAATTGCTAATAAACTGTAGCTTTTCAGCTACGATGCGACCAGCATATAGCAGGAAATCAATTTCATAATGCCAACGCACGTTGCTTAAAGCTGCTCGCAAAAACTGTTGCACAATGCGGAGGACAACATAAAACACTCAACTAATCCCCGCAAGAATTTCGGCTTACTTACGAACATATTTGGTAAACGGTTATTAACTTTCAAATGTGTCTCTCGGAAAGTTTGCGAACTGCCGCAAAGCGACCGGCAAAAGCGGCGAAAGCGGCAAAAGAAGCAGAAAAGCAGGAAAATAACAACAACCCGAACAACGACCACAGAAAAACAACAAGAAGAACCGCCAACCAACTTTATTACTAAATACAGTCATAGTCATATAAATTCGTATGTTTACACCGGCATGTGGTTGGTCCGCCCCGGCAACGCCGATGCGGACGTGACGGGCGTTGCTGGGCGTTCACTTGTTATGGCAACATCACAACAGCAACAACCACAGCGATGAGAACAACAACAACAACAACAACACGTACACAAACAACCTGTCGTTGACTTTCAAACTGATTTGCAATTTTATAAAGAACCATGCCATGCATAGATGGGGTCCGAAAAATATGCACCATGCAAAGCGAAAAGCAAAACGATGGCCAGGGAGGCGGGCGAAAAGCGAAAAGCGAAACAAAACAAAACCAAGCAAAGAAAGGAAAACTTTGCTGTTTTCCAAAGCTCTTATGAATGCCCATGCACGTGCTCATGCCTGTGTGGCCGACTATAGAGTGAGTTTTCCCAGATCCAGCTCCAACTTCTGCTCATCATCAAAATCTGCTGACGGACGATGGCGCATGCTTTTTTGACCTTTTCGCAAGCACAAAATTTTAATACTCATTTACATAACAATTACCGCTCGACGGACTGTGCGACGGACGTTGACACGCACGGAGCACGCAGAGCCCAGCACCCAGCTCCAATCCTAGAAGGGAATTCAAAGCGTAACATCAGCTTCCATGTCAGCCCGACGGGTCTAGATACGCAGAAACAAAGGCGTCCGCATAGCAGAGTCGGGCAGTTGGCAAGCATTGTGGCATGTTTTCACAAAGCTGCCACCGAGTACTGTTGCTCCACATGTTGTCCACCACCCACCCGTTCCACCATTGTTGCATAACCTTGCAAACGGCAACAACTGACGCCACCTGCAGGCGTCGCAATGACATTTCATTTAAATTGCTTTGCAACTGACTTTTGTTTCAACTTTGGTCGCTGCGTTTTTCGTATGCCGCGTCCACTAGCCCCCTCCTAAGCTGTAACTGTGACAGGATACGCTTGACGTCCCTGCAGAAAAGGTGGGGGGGGAGGGGGGTTGACATCGAAGCAAGAGGTTAGCCGCACTCCACACACTTTCATGATGTGCCTCGGCCTCCCCTACTTCGAATGCCCTTCGCCAGTTGCTCCAATGTGGTCCGATGTGTCGACTATCGTTCTGTTTTATGTTCGTTTGGCTCGGTTTGTGTTGGGTCTGGAACAGTTGACATACACACACACACACACACACACACACACACACACACACACATACATATAGTACTTACATATGTAACTACTTTCGTGTTGCTGTTGTACACCCAGAGAAAAGACCTATTTGCACGTTGACTCTATTAATTTTTGACCTTGACATGGCCAGGAAGGGGTTAAATAAGGTGTTGGGTTAAATAATGTAAATGCGTTTGCATTTGAAATAAAATTTAGTGATGGGCAGAAGTTTATTCAAATTGAAAAAAAGAATTAGAATAGAATTGTAGGTCTACCGTCTTATTTATAAGGACGCGAGGTCAAGAGTCTGCCAAATCAATATCATATTATAAATCCCTTCACTTTTAAAATCAGATATATTTGTGCTGATATATCATTCAAAATGGACCACTTGATGATGGGCATTAAATAAAAAGTAAGTAACAGATCTGTTTGTTTTTTTGTTTGGTTAAATTACGTTTCAAAAATTCAACCCATAAATGGGAAAATCATAAATTCATCCCTTTCAATAATCTATTCATAAATCATAAATAAAAACATAAATCTATTCATGTGTTTTTACGATTTGTTCTTCATAGACTTGCGATCGGGCTAAATTTAGAAAATGTTACGCCAAAACAGAAGTGGTGTGGAAAATTCGACTCATAGGCGAGGTAAAATCAATCTGTTTAGCTGTAAAACATTTCCAAAGTATTACTATAAAGATACATTAAACTTGTATAATATATAAGTATATTATGAGATATACTGCGGGTTTATTTATCGAAAAAAATACTGCTATCAACTCAACTCTTCAAAGAGAAAATGTAATTGAGTGTTCATTTTCAAGGGTTTTGTCGTATGTTTTTGTTTCTTCGTGTGTTTGTATTTTTATGTTTATGTTTAGAAATGATGATGTAGGCATGTCTAATTTGTACTTACAATATCATCCAAAGTGTTCGTCGGCTCCTTCATACCATGACGTAGATATCCAATCTGCAAATGACAAAAGACAAACAGAGCCGCAATCATTAGAAATCGGTTTGCAAATATGCCGGGGCCTGGGTTAGTATGGTTGAGTGTATGTTTGTGTAACGATATTTAGCAGGGCACACAATTTAGAATTTGTATTCCCATTTGGTTTTGGAATTTCTTCGTCCTCTGCCGGCTGTGCACTTCTGGTTCGTTCTTCTTATATTATTATTATTATCATCGTCGTTTTGTGTCTGGTGTTTGGTATGGGTCTGGGTCTGGGTCTGCCCCCCATTCAAAAAAGTAGAAACTCAAATAAGCCAACGTCTGCTACAAACGTACATACATACATATATGAATGTGGTGTCGGTTGTGGTTTGCTGACAATGCAAACACACACATAAAGATACACTGAGGTCTGCACTGTGTGCGATGGCATGTGTTGGTCCCGCTTATCAATTTCGAGCACTTGCCGTAAAAATATTAAAATTTGTTTGCTTGCCTCGACTGGCAAACCGCGCAGCCTTCAACCTGCTCCTTATATGACTTATTTAGTTGGGCAAAAAGTTTAGCTTTGCCTTTCGCATTGAATATTTCTTATTGAAATGATGTTGGTGCTTCATAATTTGCATTTCCCTCAGTCATCCTGCCATTTATTCCTTCACTTGCTTGCTTTTCTAGAGACATAGTCAGTCGCCTACTTTTAAAGTTGATTGCCACATAAATTTCATGTAATCTAATAAAATTTGAATTGTCGTTGTGTGCAGCGGAAATACCGACACAGACACACTCACTCATACATACACATATCAGCACACACAAACACACACACACACACACACACCAACACGCACCAATTTACAGCCTTCCTTCTGTTTGCTTTGCCAAGGACCAATTGCATGCAGCTTGGGCTTCACTATCACCGGTAAATGTCCTTGGCAAAGGAGGAAGAGAGGAGTAGGAAGGAAATAAAGAGCCAGTCAGCCCCGTCTGCCCGTCTGGCAATCCACTCGAATGCTGATGAAGTTTCAACTTTCAAGCGGCAATAAGCTAATCAAATTAATTCAACTTCAAACTTTTGAAGAGCATTTGCAACAAATTAATGTTATTTCATGGCTTCTTTAACTTGACACTGCGGTTTCCTTATTCGAAGTAAGTCATTTCTGATTGGCAGTTTCCTGCCTTCACTTTTTCTCATTGCTGCCGCTTCTATTGCCGTTTTGCGATAAAAGTTTTCGGCATTGCCTTAAGTGATGGTCCATTCGGGGGAAGAGGATGTCAGGCACCGTACATTTGCTTAGCAATAAGGGGATACCAGGGGAGGGGGGCCAGTGAAAACATTTGCTTAGCCCGATCGACAAAACTCCCGCCATTTCATATTCATAAGGCTTCGTTGGAGCCTTACAGGAGCAATAAACAACGTTTATTTGCATCTTTAACAACGGCTTTGTTTGTAAAGCAATAAACCAGACATGAGCATATGCAAATACTCGTACGTTTTCATACTGGCAAGTGTAAGTGTAGGCGAGGCAGAGCTCACAAATTGTCGAGACTTGTGCTACGTGTCGTATGTGCAATATCGTAATCACCGCCACTTACACTGACCTCTGCGATTAGATATGAGCGACAGAGAATGTGCTGTGCCGGGAATTGTTTTGAGCATTTTTCGAATCACGTAACTTGTTCTTTTGCTAATTGTGTCGATTTGCGATTTTAGGCACGTAGCCCAAATTAAAAGAATTGCCGCAAAGATCGCGCCAGATGGCAATAATTTAATTCACACAATGCGCGGGAGTTTTCAATTACAAGCTGCTGAGTTATTTATTCCTTTACATCGGCCCAGTCCACATAACGCTTTGCTAAGCTTCATAGGACGAACAAAAAACAAGAAAACAGAGTAAAAAGCAGGCGGCAATGAATTTTTCATTATCTACGATTGGTTTTACAGAATTTCCATTTTTTATGGCAGAAAGTCACAATTTTTTTCATTTCGGCAATCGGCCAATTGCATGAAAAAACAAAAGAAAAAACAACAACAACAATAAGAGCAAGAAAAAACAAATAAAGCCACCATCACGACGAGTTGCAAACGTGTCAGATACACGAAAATCAAAAATTTTACTGCATTTGTAAAAATGTCAGAACCCATGCAATACCGAATACAAAAGCCACAACACAAATACTATACACATCAGGGCAGTGTGTAAAAAAGAGGGGCGAAGAAAAAGATTCAAGCAACGTCGAAGCTTTGATGCCCTTCTCATGGTTTCAATTTGTTTGGCCGAAGTATTAAAAGTAGAAAAGATTTCTTATCTTGCATGTGAAATTTGTAAAGGCGATGCATCGATGCATTCAATTAAGAGTTGAGAGCTAAAGGATTTTTTATTTACTTGATACCCAAATATTAAGAACGTTTTTGAACAACTTCAAGCTTAAATAACTGTAGTCATTGATTATAAATATTTGATCAATGCTTAGAGCTTTGTCTAACCCTTCCAATGTACCGAACAGTCGTTTTAGGGGAACTTTGATTTTTTACATCATACACTGAAAACATAAAATTTTACAAACGTTTTTAGTTAACTTCTTAGGCTTTCTTATTTTTCAAGCTGAAATTATAATATAATATTATTACATATCTTTTTTTAAATTAGAGTTATTATATAATATAAATCATTTTTTAAAATATCAACAGCACTATTTGCTGATTTATTATATAAAATAAATAGCTTAAGTACCACAGTTCCCACTACATAAAAGTTCCTAATTAAAGAATTTTCAATGAATGTTACGACCAACATTTTTATTAACATTTCGTGACCTATAATATTAATTCAAAATTGGCTTTAGTATTTAATATAAGAGTTAGTTATTATTTTTTGTTTTTTCATTCCGACAGTCGAAATAATTTGCATCTACATTATTCAAATATAAATCGGTCTTGTTGCGTCAGCAAATTTTTGTTGGATATAGCAAGTTTTTTGTTTTTTTCAAGCGTGTATACACATTTTTTTGTTTTTTCATTTCAGGTAAAGATGCAAATTTCGAATGCTTCTTACCCATAAACAGAAATATAAAAGCTTCTTCTCTATTTTTCCAGTCAATGCAAGGCCCTATATAGGCAATTCACAAGGAGAAGTGGACACGAACTGCAAACATCTTTTTATCAACAAAATGGAATGATTGCATGTTTAAAAAATATTTATTTGAAAGCAGTAGTTCCCGGCGTCCCTCAAATAGCCGTTAATTCTGAAATTTTTAAACTCTCCACAAGAAATGAGAATAAATTAACAAACTAACATAAGTATTATATGAAAATTCAAAATGGATGGCATATTAACACTATCAGCTACATTATGTTGTTTAAATATTGTAAATCTAATAGCAGTTAAAATAAATTGAACGTTAACTAAAGCCGTAAACAGAAATCAAAACTGTGCTAATTACTAACCCAGAAAGCGTTATTTTGTAGATATTAGAATAAAGTTACAAACTTAAAACCAAACTATTTTTTACTTCACAATAATATAAATTTAACTGATAAATATTTCATTCGTTTATATAAAGTCTTTTGTCGCTAGCATGCTAAATTAAAGAGTATACAAATTTATTTAATACATATTTGAAAAGAAGACAATGAATGCCTCTCAACTACACAATCCAGCACATTTTCAAATAAAATTTATTTTCGCTGAGTGCTCATAACTTTGATAATTAACATTATTTGTTAAATTCCAACTAATTGCAGTCATTGATTTATGATTTATGCAAATACATATTGAAAAGTGAACAATAAATTAAAGAAAATTACATTTTTATTTAAAATATAACTAATTGGTAATTGATGGTTACAATGTCTTTTTTGTGAAAAAAAATTTATTCACCCAGTATCGACCAATCGGTAAGGGCGCCACCAGAAAATGTCCTGTTTCGAAAGTCCTGTTTACTTTTTTCTTCACCTTGCACGACAAAGTTGACCATTTTTGTGAGTTCTGCTGGTGTCCTGTTCGAAATCTTTACAATTAAGCTTTGAACATTTTTTTTACCGAAGTAGTAGGGTATGGGGCTCAAGCCACAACAATTCAGCGACGAACTGAGATACAAAACCGCACTTAACGTTCAGCAAATGAAATTGCAAACTATTTGCAATCATGTATGTTTTAGTACATGTATATATACATATATGTACACATACTATATTCCAGTTGCTCTCTTGTCGCCCGATAAAAACGGCAAAAACATTTTCGTTGGCATGAACTAGAATATAATGCTCCAATTCATTCTAATTTGGATCGCGAGACTGCGTCATGCTGTTTATTATTATTGCAGCTTGTGGCCGCTTTTATTTATTTACGCGCCACACAAACCAACACACACACACACACACACATGCATACACGCACAAACACACACATATAAACACATACGTTTGTGTTGTGTGAATTGTTTACGGATGCGCTTTCAATTACAGTCACAATTAGTGACGCTCAGAGGGCTTTGGGGAAAAGGTTGAATAAACTTGTCCATAAATTAATGAAATGCGCATCCCAAAATACTAAATTTTAATGAAAATGCATGATTTAAATAAATTGCACAATTCAAATTGAATTTCAAAGCGATTTAAGCCAGCGGTGGACTAAAATGACCAAAGGTGGATTATGACAGGCGCCGAGAGGGAGTTGGAGAGGAAGAGGGACTGTAGGAAGTAGGCAAGTGTGTGTGTGCGTAAGTGTGTGTTCATGTGTGTCTGTGTGTGTAAAACAAGACAAATGTTTACTGCGGCAGTAATAATAACTGAACATCAACAAGCGTGCCAGTACCCGAACCAGACAAAAGCGGCAAGAAAACAACACCTGCCTACCGGCGTTTACCCGAGTGCCAGAAAACTAATTAAAATTGCCGCATCGACACGACGTCGAATGCCACATGCGCCCCAAAGCGTTTACTTAATATAATATATAAACTCGTACAGTACCCCCTGCCTCAGTAGCTACAACAGTTTTCCCAAGAAGAGCCTGACAAAC